ATTCTCGTTTTCCAGGTTCTCGGATGTGTTCGCGTCAGTGATGCTTCCTGTGTTCTCTTCCGACTTCAGATCTCGAAGCGTGGTAGTAGAGAAGTATAAGTCATCCTAATACCGAAAAATTCAATTACCTTCTATTTTCCTATTGAAAATTTTGTCCGTAATTGTACATACACTACACTATATTTTAAAGTAAACATTCAAATTCCTCTACATAGTATATTTGATAATTATAAATATAGTAAATCTACGTTTTTATCGTCGTTACCACGAAAATATTGCTGCCGAAGAAGTACGGCGCGCTCGGTTTTCTCCCGCCGGTCCCGAAATCATGATCATCGTCCAATTCCGTCAGTCTTTCGTGCGCCTCTCTCTCCTTGATCCTGATTCGGGCATCTTTGACGTGCTGCTCTGTGATCCCGAGCAGCTTCTTCGCGTTCTGACCTGGCGTCAAGCGAGAATCGTAGGTCTCGTAGCTGTCGAATGAAAACAGGGTGGTCAGAGAGCCCGTCCTGTACTTAGGGTCGTCGATCTTCACGTAGAGCTGATTGGTGAGCAGATTCGAGTCGCTGCTCATCGATCTGGTCAGCCTCCTCATCTTCTCGATTTTACGCAGTTGCAGGAAGAGGCAGGAGTTCGAGTACCAATTGTAACTAGCCAACACTGAAAGGAAGATTCGCTGTTTTAGCATCGATGAGTAAATGGAGGAATTTCAAATAATTAGAAGAAATCGCGTATATTCTCTCTAGAATCACGTTTACAAATTCTATCGAGTATCGTTCGTAAGTGAGTATTCTAGCATTGAACATTCACGATAAATGTAATAAAAAAATATTGGAAATATTTTTATTAGAATTTAGAGAAGTATTTGAAACGAAAACTGACAGAAGTAGGAAATATGAAAATACAAAACGATTCTTCGTTTACCGTTGTTTTCAAGGTATCTCGAGGGTAAATGATAGTTTATTAAACGACGTCGTCAATGTTTAACGTCGCAGTGTTGTTAATTTACCTAAGGGGACAAGTTTCACGAAAACGAACTCGAGGAAGACGACCAACGAGAACGGGTTCCCGTACCAGAGCAGAAGTCCGATCACGATCACGACGACTTCCAGAACGACATTTTTAAAGAAACTCAGAATTAGCCAGGGCAGTAGGAAATTCGGCCGGCTCCACGTTATTACAGGGTATATGTTCGATAAGTAGGTGAACGTGTAAACGTGGGCGATCACGATTCTCGTTATTACGATCCATGATAGAACTACGGGCGTACAAGCGGAAGCTTAATAACACTGTGACTAATTTCTATTCGCTTACTTGCTCAGCTCACGAATAAACAATACGCAACCGACCGGTTTTTATAGTGTCCTCGCCAATTGTATCGACAATCAACGATTTCTGCGGTATGGAAAGATTCCAAATTTTCTCGAGCTTGCTCGTCCATTTTAAGGGACTCCAGTCAAGCGTGCTGTTCACCTTCGAACCAAATACGCAGCACAATGTTTATTTTAACGTTTCAAACAATATATCTCATTCAATTACTTTAGTTTCATCACTGTATTTTTAGATTTACATCATTGCGTCGCCATACAAACATGATAATCAATAGTTCCTCGTCGTCCGACTACGGCCGCCATCTTTACGCAGTGAAAGATCGGAAAGTATTACTAAATACAGACGATCTAATAAATGTATTGTCAAAATGGATAATAGATTATTTACTAACGCAAGAAATAAATAAAATTAATATGAATACATTTGGAAAAGGTGTTTATCGATATTTCGAAAAGGTTAGAGAGGTTATGTTAACCCGACGAACGCGATGCGACGGTGGTCGCTCGGAGATCAGACTCACCAGTCCAAAAATGTTCATTATCAGTAGTTCCGTTCGAAATGGTACACCGAACGTTCGTCCGAGGAAGCTAGGCATCAGGAACACGAAACTTTCGGAGCAGTCGGAGGACCAGCGAGTCGTCGATTCGGGGGACGATCATCGTCGTCCCGGTAGAGGAGTTTACAGAACGCGAAACTATCCGGACCTTCGCCTTGACGGATCAACCAGAAATTTCGCGGATGGACGTTGCTCGTCCACGAACGTGTTAATTTCGACGCGTTCGAACCTTCGACCGCGTTTATTCGGTCGAATGCTTGTTTGCCAAACAATGAAGCTACGATCGCAGGGAACAACAGACGATTGGCAGTGTCTCCTGAATTGCTGCTGCTTCGAACGAACATCACGGTGATGCTCAGGGAGAAACTTTGTAAGGAATCGTTCGTATAAATGAGAAAACGTCCGAGAAAAAGAATAATTTAATTTAATATTCACGAAACTTCAAGATCCCCATTCATCTACAATACACTTTCCCCTTTAGACTAAACCCTTTCCCAAGACAATAGTCCTAATTTAAGCTTCAATGATTTTCTCGTAAAGATTCGCGATTGAACTGTTCCAAATTCAAGCAAGACTACACTGTTCTAATCGCAAGTCTAGAACTCTCCTTGGATCGTCCGTTGCGTCCGGAAACGCAGCGCGAAGATGCAATTGCGCACGGTGCATCGCGACCTCAATTCCGGGCTACTTGAAACCGTGCTCGCGTGATCCGCAACAGCGACGCGAACCCTTCTGCGTTTGATGCCGCCGGTGGGAGGAGCGGCTTTCCACAGAGAGTGGATCATTCATCTTTGAACCGGCGGCGTACGCTCGCGAACAAGTGTACGCCTCTTCTAAACACGATTTCCCTTCTATCGGCACTGTTAAGTGGCCGATAGTTTGTCACTGTTACAGGCATTTACACCGTCTAGCCTCCGCTCTGACCGCAGCGACTGTTTATTCTACTTCGCACGGTCCCGCGAAGCCGTTATCGTCGAATTTCACCTCGTTATCGCCTTCGCACTGGCTGCACTCAATTTTTAACGCGTTGACTGCCATGGGGGTCACCGGTGACCCCCGACCAAATCGAATTAATTTCTATATTATAAATAATGCTACATAATACAGTGACATTCAGCTGGATGAACGTGGAATAGTAATGAAATTCGATCGAATGACTTAATATTATATTTTTTCCATTCGGCATATTTCCCTCTGTGAAATCGTGCGGCGTTCAACGCGTTAAACGAATCGTTAAACGTTTGGGTAAATAGAATAGAGACTCGCAAGCTGTTGTTACTATTGTTGCGTCTTCATCGTGTCGGAATATTCGAAATTTATTGTGTATTTCTGTAATGTTGTGTTAGAACTCTATTCAGAAGGTAAGACTAGAGTATAGAATTGTTAGAGAATTATTTGATGAACGAGAGGCATTGTTTCATTTAGCGAAAGAAATCGCAGTCCATTCTGCGTGGAGGATGCTGCTATGAAGAGGAAAAGGTCTTTAGAAAGTACCGCCTGTGGACTAGAGTCACATCGAACAGTGAGTGTAACTAGGTTGCATGATCTCAGGAGCAGAGCGGTAGCGCAGTTGAAGTCACTTAGAAAGTTACGTCTGTAATATCCGAGTAGAATTCTCTCGCTTCGTTTTCTAGGAAACTGATTCAATTACTTAACTCATTATAGAAGTACGTAAACATGACCAGCTTCCGTTTATTCCCTCTTGTATGTAACGGAACATTGTTATACGGTGATCATTTGAAATCATTTCTATATCACAAACAATGCTACCTAATGCAGCGTCGTTCGGATAGATGAACGTACAATTGTAATCATGGAACTCGATCGAACGATTTAATATTGTGTTCTCTTCATTTCCCGTATTTTGCTCTAGAAAATCGTGGAAAACATTATTCCATTCTACAAAGCAACGGAAAGCAACGCGGAATCTAATCACACGAGCAATTTCCACCTCGTTAATCGGAATTCTGGTCTGATTCGAACGACCTTCCCTGCATCAGCTCAAGTTAATTCGACCGATCCACTGTACCGTCTCTTTTGTTCCATCCCTCAACGAGCTTAATCCACTTAATTAAATACGGTTCCTGTTTACCCGGCACTCTTCATCATTGCTCGTTTACCATGTACATCAACTAGCCCGCGCTCCGTTGCCCATCCCAAATCACTTTTGCGTAGCCATTAACCCTTTGCACTCCGGGCAATTTTTAATACAACCTTTCAGCAACTCCGAATCAGTTTTAATGTGAACTGTCAGCTACGAGCGTGCCTCTGCAAAAGATTTGAGACCCTGCTTTGTCATTAAAAAGTTATGTTTGACTAAAAATGAAGCAACCAGCAACCAGCAATATTCCGAAGCTTGTTTACTCTTATAACATTTTCCAAAGAAGTAAAACTTCAAATTGAACGAAGTACAACAGAACGTTCAAATTCCTTTAAACCTTCGAACTCTAGAAATTCATCATTATCTTAACCGCACTATGGCTTCAGATCTCAAACTGAATCAACACTCGAAACAAACCATAGAACTTCCTTTCCATTCGATTATACACTACCGTGAATCTTTACTTTTCACATTAGAACCTCTTCGCAGTATTTCCGGCCTTGACTAAAGCCGCACCGAAAGCGCAGAAGAGTCGCAGTTCGGCCAAGAACGTAAATTCTGTGCCTCCCCATGTGCATCGATCTCAAACGAAAGAGGGAGAGAAGCGAGAGGAAGAGATAACTCGTTTCGAAAGTGAACAATAGATTGTGTATATTTGCGCGAACGAATAAAACAAGTACGATCTCTAATATACAACAAGTGTCTCATATGCGACTGTAGATAATCGAAGAATCGCAGCGCGGCTATCTTCGTCGTCCCAACGACGAACCACCGTCTTCCGTGGTTCGTTTCGTGGTTTATCGTCTAAGCAGCAGTCCCGTCGATCCTTTCCCCGTCGTTTCACAACGAAAAAACGAACGAACCCCATGGAAAACGATATCGACGCGGCGATCGAGCGGCGCTCGTCGCGGAGATCGCCGGGCCCGCCATTGCGGCGGTGTGTTGGTTAGCCACCGGTGTAGGTGCACGCGCGCCTCCTCGTAGGTGTACCGCGTCGCGGTTTGCCGTGGCGGCTTATACTGTTCTTGGCACAGTTTCTGACCATCTCCTATTGCGAGCGGACCGCGGCCGCTGGACCTAAGCGTAATTTCGTTACGCCTCGCGTGTACAGAGACGCAGCGATCGTTCCTCTCCGTCCCGTCGCCGGCGACACGCGCACGTTCACCGCTCGCCGGACAATTTTCACCGGCCGCGAGCCGTCTCTTCCGCCACCTGGGGGTGCACAGTTTCCGGTGGTCCCGTCGAAAAGTGAGTAGACCCGTTCCGAACGCGGAGACCAGGGCTTTCGCGGTTCGAACGCTCGAGTCGCGAGCTTCTCGGGTTTGCGTAAAAGTGCCAGCTTGCTTCGTAGGATCGAATGAAGTTTACTTGTTCGTTCTGTTCTTGGTTGTTTAGTTTTGTGTATTCTCGTGTTTGTTGAGAAATTGAAAGGTAGGAAGATCGCACTGTTTAGAATGGTTTTGCGCGAAAGTAGAACAGAGTTATCGAGTTTCCGAGCTGAAACGGAGGAAGCGCGATCGGATGGTGGTTCTTTTACGGTGGATATGTTGCTCGTTGAGTTGATTACTTCGCGGTGTTAACGCTAGAACTGCCATATGGGTCGAAATGGTGCATTACTAAACTCTTCTGTTATAATTATTGACGAAATAATAGATCTCTAAGGAATTTCTGAAGAGATTGTTTCACGCAAACTAAGTTTCGACCGAGTGTTGCAGGTGGAAAGATTGACTTCGAACTTTCGAAGAGGTTTTAGAAATTCTTGTTCTCCTGGGATTGATGCGGGATTGATAAGAGTATCGATAGTTGCGTCGGAGATGTATGGAATTGGCAGCGTCGGTTGGCAAAGTGATAGGGGGTGGAAATTGCGGCGCAGTAATGGGAAGCCGTGAGTCACCGTGAACGTCGCGTAAAGTGAAAGACGGTAGGAATATTTATAGAATCATTCGAAACGTTGGGTAATTGAGGAATAGTTCGCATCGGGTGCGAGGAATCATTGTAACAATCGTCGTCGCTGTCGGGAGCACTTAGTGAAATCGAATACGTTCGGTCGCGAATGTTATTTTTGGCGAATATAACCGATGAAAGCGTTGCAAAAGCAGCGAAAAATAACCGGCGTCAACGGGCGATTGTTTCTTCAACAATTGCTGCGAAAGCAAACAGGTTCACGCGTCACGCGCCTGTTTCCAACTAATGCGTAAACATTTACAATCCATCGATCATTATCGCGGAATGGAATCGTTAAGTTTTTATTTCACAATGTTTTCACGCTGAAACATTCCTCACATTCCTTTGGAAAGCTTTCAACATTCTTCGAAGTTCTCATTTCCCTCGGACGACTCGAACGTTTCGCGTAAATCTGTTGGAGATGCAATGAACTTCGAGTTAGCGGCAGGAAAGCCATTCGTTATCGTGGTAATTGACGATAATCGCCGGGAATTGTATAATCGTCTACAACGTACCATCAATTTCTTCGATTACCTCATGCTATTCCTCGCGCGCCGAAGAGTTCCACTGAAAAACTACTCTTTCGAAGATGTTTCCCCGGTGAACAACTTCGTGTATTTTACAGTAAGAAGTCGATATTCAATTTTCAGCTTGTTAACACTGTATAGGTTTGCTCGGTGCGTTAGTTTGACGGATATTGTATTTTATGAACATTATTTGTCGAAGATTTCGACCTACTTTGACATGTGAGTCCATGTTTTGATATTTTCTGATGTTTCTACATTCCAATGGAATAAATAATATTCTTTTTAGTTATACAGTTTTTTAGTTAAACAATTTTCTCAATTTTTCTTTTCTGAACTTAACTCCATCGGCTTCTGAGCGATTCATACTTTCCTCGACTTCTAACCTCTAATTCCCAAGATTCGAACAAACGAACGTCGATTTCCTAGAAACAACTAAATAAACTCCACGACGAATGCCTGTGAACTTGTTACACATTGTGTCTAGCTGAACGCGAAGATTCGCGGCGAGAGGATTTGCTCGGGGATATTTCGTCGAGGTTTGTTCCTCGTGGAAAAAACGACTGTAAAAAGCGCGCGCTACGCGGCGAGGACGCGCGATAAAAATTGCGGCGGAGTGTTTATCGTGCACGGTGCGCGCGTTATGTAAATAATTTTTCAAATTCCGTCGTCCGGGGAACGCGTGAAGATAACGCGAGCGTCCACGCCGACGAATACGTCGGGGACGAACAAACCATTTTGCAACGAGGAACATGTGAAAAACAACGATCTTCTCCTTGGAGGATGACTGAATTGAAACCTTGCAACATTCCTCGAATTGCACGCGATCGAATGGATTTTCTGTGTTCTCTTTAATTACATGATTCTTGATTTGCATCGATGACTCGTTGAATTCTTACATCTTCTTTCTGCGATTCCCAGGATTCCTATAATTCCTCTGAAACAGAGCTGGCAAATCTTTGCTTATCATAGGATAATTTTGTTCACAAAGTTCAGATGGAGAATCGAATAATTTTAGGGTAGTTTCTTTAAGATTCATTAGAATATTTAATATTACAACTGGTGCGATACTGGAGCCTACAGAGTTCAAAGGGTTAAAAGGAATAAGTAGGCGCAAGGCTGCAATGCGCTTGTAATCATCGAATGCGCCACGTTCGACGCACGCGCCACGTTTTGGTCGTCTCTGCTCTAAGAATTTCTTTTATTTCGTGTGTCGCGCGAAACGAGCTGTTCTAAATTAGTCGGGATTCTTCATGGATGCTTGTCTTTCTCGGATTGTACGCAGTTCGGCGGAATCTCGCGTTCGATAAACAGATGACGACAGCGGGATACGGGGAATAAAAGGAAAGGCCGGCGAAAACAGCCGCGTTTCTCGAATAACTGAAATCGAGACGCTCGGATACGTATCGTTCGAACTCCCGCGGATTTCTCGGGCGTTGCGACACCTCGTTGACGAGAGAAACAGATTAACTTAGTATTCTTATTTCGTTTCGAAACTAAATCCGACATTCTCGCGCGAGCTGTAGGATCCCAATAAAAAGATCGGATACATTGATCTTTATTATCTTCAGCTTCTCTCGTCTCGTTACGTTTTAATGCGCCGTTTATAATTAATGATATACAGACGTTTATCCAAACTTTTACAGCTCGTTTCGCAACTGGAATGAAACTTCTTTCTATACATTCAACATTTTATAATTATACTTTAATCGCTTCATCTCACTTCGATTCCATCCGCCATCTTGTCCTTTCAATTTCTCGAAACGAAGGTCGCCAGAGATATAGAAGAAGAGGCAATCGCTTTGTGAATCATCCCATAAATAACGCGTTCTCTAATTCCTCGATTCTTCAAAATTCAGACGAACAAACTTCGATATAAAATTCAAGCCGTTTATTTTCAAAAGGGACAGCTCCAGGATAACGAATAAATTCTCCTCGTTTCTATAACGAGTCATACCACGATGCGACTCAGTCACTTATGAGAATAAAAGGAACGATTAAAATGTTACTGTTCCTATTTATAGTACCCAAACGTTAAAAGCCCAAAAAAACTTCTAGAAATGCAATACGAGATAATGAAAAAATTCAAGTAAAAAGTTCAAGTGTCACTCAAAGTCACATCGTGTATTAGTTAATGTCTGTTTCACGTGATGTTCGAATATAAAATAAAGAAGCCGCGTTGTTTACGCGATGAAGCGTGAATTGCGACGCGAGGTGGACAATGGCGATTCGGAAACGTCCCGCGGAGATGGTCGCGCAAGAAGATGGCACGCGAGCGCGAGCCCCGCGAAAAGTAAAAGGAGGCCAGCCTCGCGTTCGCGGCTGAGCCATGACAACACGTACAAGTAGATACACACGAAGCCTTTTAGTCTTGGACGCGTGGATAACGTGGATCACGTGGATCTCGATCCGCGAGCTGCGGTTGCAGCGGCTGTTTCACTTTTCATAGACCTGTGGATCCCCATTCAGCTTGTTTCCCTGTTTCTATTTAACACTCCAGGATGATCGCGATTCATTCAGAGCGAACTGTTAACCCTTCTTCGACGAAGGTTTGAAATATACAAGACCTTCGGCAGATGAAGCTGCATCGCATATCAACTGCTTAATTAATATGCAGAAGGAAACTACACGATCTCTTGCTGTTTCAGTGATTAACACATTTTACGCAGCTATGCTATGTCACCGGTTATTATTCCGTAATTAAATACGAAAGTGAAACGATCTGCATAAGGTTCAATATATCTTTATTGTATTGAATTGAAAAGAAACTTCGGGCATATCTTTTAAGGATTAAAATTGCTTCCGGAGTTTCCGGAAGCTCTCAATCGAAATTAGAAAGATTCAAATTGTTCGTTTCGTTCAATGGAAAATTTCTTCTGCCCGTTGTTCGAAGAATTAGTGTCACGGAAAGCAGCGTGTTTTCCTCGTTCCACGGTGAACGCGGAAACCGATTGCGAAAGAGGTGAGTCGCGATCGAGAATCGATATTCCGCGAGCGACGTTGCACCTGACGTGGTGGCCGCGACGGATGCTGCACACATAAAGGCCCCAGATAAAGATCTGAATCGGAAATTCCGACGGCGGCTCACCGACGAGAACTGCTACGCTCGGTTTGCGTGGGTGTCGCGTGACCTTCCGTTTGCACAGTCGTTTTGCAGTCGTTTCTTTTACTTCGACTCGTTCGCTCGCGCGTTTAATAAGATCTCAATAATTGCCTGTCGTCGAGTCGGTTTATTTCAATCGTCCCTTTACCGAGGTTCGCCGACTAACCGCTTATCTTGTGGTGCTTTTCAATCAATTAGACTCAACAGTTACGGTCACTGTTCAATATTTTAATGCGCTTCATCGAAACGAACATTTCTGTGAATTCTCCCGATCAGCCTCGTGACTCATTTTGCAACTAGAATTGCACCAGTTTCAGTCAACGTCGAATTCTCATTCATTCCGTACAATAATTTCCTTATTTCCGTCGACTCTATTACTATGCGACTACACTTTTTAATTAATAATTACTTCTTTACGTTAACCCTTTGTCGAGTCGTAACATCTTTGAGTTTTCATATCGAACGTCGAAAGCTTCAAGCAAATAATTTAATTATTCAATTAATCGGAGATAGATATTTTCCCTGGTGTTTAAGATTTCGACGCATAATTCAATTCTTTGTGGACAGAGTTCTCAAAAGTTTGAGAAGTTCTCTCGAAAGGGTTAATGGTTGAAGACAATTGGATGATATAGTTGGTTAATTTATTTCCTAACAGATCTACTCGTGGGACGTTTAGA